CTGTTCTATGTATACTAAGTTAGTTCCAACAATATTTATAATTTCCAGTCAATTTTATTACAATCAAAACAAAACAGTGTTTTATCTTTCAAGAAAATTGTTGTATATATTAAATAAAAAAAAACTGTCGTATATATATTATTAAAAAAAAGAAATGATATCTATCAAAAAATTACCTTTTTTAAAAAAAGGTAAAAAAAAGGCGCCAAGTACACGTTCTTGTCACAACTAAAACAAAACAGTATTGTTCTACTTTTCAAAAAAATTGTCGTATATATTAAATTTTTCAAAAAAACCTGTCATATATATTAAAATTTTCAAAAAAAGCTATCCTATATACTTCTTACAAAAAAATATGATATCAGGAAATGGCACCAAGTGGGACTAAAGAACTTTGAAAAAACTTGTACACTATTTCTATAAAACTCTTCTATAAAACTCTTGTACATAAAGCTGTCGTATATATAATTAATTATATTATATACTATATTTTATCATATTTTACATATGTGAATATACAAGGAACATTCGGTGGATATTTAACGAACATTCACTGAACATTCAGCTAACATTCAAAGAATATCCAGCGAACATTCATAAGTGATACTGTGTACGGTATATTGAGTTCTGTGAATGATCTGAGAAGGTACCACATATATAGAGAACATCATAGAGAACATTTAAAACCTGCATATTCATAGAATATTCATAGAACAATCTTTGGGAATGTCCTTTATTAGCCATAACTGGAACGTTCTATTAATGTACGTAGAACATTCAATAGAAATATTTCTTTTCGGAATATGTTTAAAATATAAATAGAACGTTTATAGAATGTCTTGTGCTATCCAGGGATCGCATTGCAAATAAACTTTTGTGTTTTATTATATAATATATTGTTTATTAAATAGTTAACAAAAGAATATCAATAAATACAATGTAATTTTCTGACACCATGTATATTGAATAGGATAACTCTTGGCAGATTTATTTATTTAAACGTGGTAAATTGAGTGTATGAGTTTTAGTCGTTGTTTAAAAACTCTATGTTTAAAAGCTTCGAACAATTCGAAAAGTAATTAACAATTAAAATTAGTACTTTAAATAAATGTTCCTCTAATTTTTCCTGCCCAGGAGTTTTGAAGAAACGTTATTATACTGTAAGGCCGGTTCTACAATAAGTTGCAAATACTCCGTCGCCAGTCGCGAATGCTCCGTCTTACTAAAAATAACTAGAAATAGCGCTTTCCAATTAGTAGTTGCCATCCTTCGCGACCGGTGACGGGGCATTTGCAACTTATTGTAGAACCAGCTTAAGAGGCAGAAAGATTGGCCAGCGCGGTCGAAGATTAAGAATAGGCCTTAATATTGCGGATCAGGCTTTAGGACGTATGACTACCGCAAGCATGAGACGGAGAGACAGAGTTTTCGGAGATTTTTCGGAGAAGCGCTGGAAAAGGATAATAGGAATCTCTAGCCACTGAGTAAAATGGATTGAGAAGAGAGATCGAAATTATCGCAGTGTTAGCGCGGAAAGTGATATTGGGATTCGAGTAGGAATCTGGTACAAAGAAAGCTTGTGTTAAACTCTTTGTAATTTCGATCTGTTCGGCTGACGAACTATACTTGTTTATTTCGACATTTATATAAAGTTTTTTTTTCTTTTAAATCTTTTCTTTAATTAATTGCCCTCATCAAATCTCTAACAAATCCTTACAATATTGTCGTCATATAACAAATGTTTCCCTTTTACTTGTGTTATAAAAGTAATATAAAATATGGTATTTCTGTTACAATTCATAGCGTTGAATGTTGTTACACGAATTTCTTTATTTGACATACAATGATGAAAGTCTAATCAATTATTTGTATCAAATGCATGCACTATGACGAGAAATTATGTGCTCTCGGTGTCAAAAAGTAACATATAATTAAATATACACACAAATTACAGATCGTCATCACTTATTTTACTAGAGCACTAAAGATACAGGTATTCTCGTCTGCGCCATTTTTGCCCCATTCCCCCACTCCTTGCTCTCTCGCTCTTTGTCGCTGAGCTGAGAAGTTTATGATGATTAGGTTATGTCTTCCAATGTCTTCTAAGCAGCTTAGCAAGCAAGAGGGCAAGGAGTGGGGGAATGGGGCAAAAATGGCGCAGATGAGAATATTCACGTTTATAGTGGAATAGTTTTACAAAGTAGGAATAATGATTACAAACAAGTCCGAGGTTAAAAAATGGGAAGAGGCTCCGCGCTCAACTCTTCTCCGAAAGGTATAGGAGTTGGATAGAGGATAAGATTTTCTCAGAACAAGGATGCAGAAAGAGAGAGGCAAAGCTCCTCTTTCGCCATACATTTAATCTACTATCTTGAAATAAATAAAGCTGCTAATAATAAGAGTTTGTTTTATTAAATTTAGATGATGTCATAAAATTACGTTCTATTCGGTAAACTTGTTTTGTTAATAACTTATTTATAAATAATGAGCGACGACTAAAACTTTTTTCTTGTTACATAGAACAATTGGCTTTGATGGCTTAAGTCAAAGCTAAGACAATTGGATCTAATTGCGCAAATATAAATATTTACTAAATGTAGCATATCAATAATAAGAATTTATAGCAACCTGATGGAAGATATATGTTGCAAGCAATGTAACAAAACCTGTTTTTGACCACAGCAACACATCATCGTACCAAAGAGATATTATTTGATGTGTTATAAGACATGCCACTTTCAATTTATGTCCTATGGGATCTGAGTCTTCATCATAAATAATATCGGTTTCTCTGAAAATGTTTTCAAATATGAAAAATTTGTCGATAATGTTTGTTGTAATTAAACAATTTAATAATATAAGTCGTTAATATAATGAGTCTTTGTATTGTAAATATAACAAATTATTACAAAGCCACGAATAAATTTTTTTTATAACTGTTTTTTGCAAAAAAGTATTTAAGATTTTTTGAGCTGAATATCGTAATAACTAGAAATAGTGACTTTTAAAAATTTTGGGCCGTTATGTAATTTTTATTAACAATGTAATATATTTCACTTAAGAAGCGACGAAGTATTAACTGTTTACTTATACAGTCACATACAGACTTTATGTCAAAACGTTAGAAAAGAAAAATTTTGCACAAATATTTTCACAAATAGAAAAGACATTAAAATTTGAAAAACAAGAACTCTGATGAGTTCCGATGAAATGACTGATATAATAAATGATTTTATAACAGTCGATTTATTTGTGCAACTTAAATCGCACAGTTATTTTGCATGCTTTTAAAACTGAAGCAAAGTTAATGTCTGATTTGACATAATAAATAATTATTTCAAATTTTGATCTAAACTGAAGATAATGATATCTTTTTAATACGACGCAAGTAAAAATCTATAGGTTTCAACTATTTCCTAATTTATACATTGTGACATAAAAATATGTATATCTTTCAGTTTTAAAATTACATTATTCGATAATTTCACATTTTTTATTTAATAATTACTTTTGATTAATTTATTTTAGTTTTGAATATTACCTTTGTAAAATTAGTCCCGATGTCACAATGTGTTGAGTATCGTGTTGAGTATCCCAAAGTACAACATAGTCTATTTTTGGTAATTTGTTTATAGTATTTTCACGTTTCAAAAAGTATAGGACTTGTTGCGCAATGGATTCCGCTAATTGTAAATAGTATGTCACGTTTTTTCTACCCCAAAATGTGACGTTTGCAACCGAAGTAGAAATATTAGTGAATGTGGTTATCACAACTTTTATATGTTGAATGAACATTGAAGGTGATTTTTCAAAATGTGTCCACATCATGTCACGTATGTCATCATTTTTTGTCGTTTGTACAGGCATATTTGATAAAACTGAATATTTTTTATGATGCTTGATGGAAAGTTTAAAGGTCGAATTAAGTGCAATATCGTCCCAACATGGGAATAGTTGTCGAGCGGTCATTATATCAACGCCTGTCTTTATTAACCTATTATATTTTAATAATATGGTAAATATAAAATTTTAAATAAAATTATACTCAAGGATCGACTAAGGATAGAAGTATTGGGTATTTAAAAAATTGAATGATAGTTTATAACATTGTACAGAATTTTATGAGAGAGAACGTATAACACTTATATCTACATCAAAAAATCGACAATTTTGAAAATATTGATTATATTTCAGCACTATTGTGACTATTTTATGTAATAAGCAATTCTCGGAATGTCTTTTGGTTAATGACTTATGTCATGTACTTAATAGGTAAATATATTTTGAAAAGAACATTAGTAAATATTCTTTATACTATAATTTTGCTTCAAATACTTTTTTAACTTACATGTTGTCCAGTGTTTTATCGGAGAATAAAGATTGTATAAAGTATTCTTCATTATTATTTAGGTGACTCATATATGCTATCATTAAAATGTATCTTCCGGGTGGTAAAAATTTGTGCAGTTTTGGCGTCTTGGTAAAATCGATCATAAACATGTTTAATTCATTAAACGAATACTTTGGAACGTAAACTTTTTGACTAAGAAGGTTGTCATACAAAACTATTTTTATTATAGCGAAAGTCACTGGATACAGAGTTATATTTTCTGTTTGATGATTAATGTTTATAGTTATATTACATTCACCAATAATATCATTTGTTTCGTAGTTAAATCTTATATTGGCATCGTAATGCAATGGTATTATGTAATCCGGTAAATGATAACCAACTGTAGTGTCATTTTCGGTATTGATAGCAATGCAAAGTGCTATTGTAGCGATTAACATTATTTCGACATTTGTTAAAAGTTTTCGGAATATCATATTTAGTTTTCTTTATAAAACAAAACAAAAATTCTGAAAAAAATATTTGTTGACAATAAAACACATTGTACATTTGCAACACACAGTTCTTAATTTATATGTATATTCACTCCGACTCTACCCTCTTGACTTGACAATGAATTGAAATATAAAATTCCGTAAAGTTTACTCTTTTTCAATAATTAGCTGCTTTGATGGAGCGCGTATATTTCCATATTTAGATAATATATTTTGCACCGGAGCAACCGATAAAGAGCACTTTCAAACGTTAAAAGAAGTATTTAACCGTCTCGAAAATTGTGGTCTTAAAGTAAATATAAAGAAATGCAAATTCTTTAAGGAAAGACTAGATATTCTCGGATTCGTGATTGATAAAAAGGGCTTGCATAAATCAATGACTAAAGTAAGAGCGATGATTAAGGCACCGAAGCCAAGAAATCTTAAACAATTACAATCTTTTATAAGATTAATTACGTATTATGCAAGATTTCTCCCCAATAGAGCAAAAATGCTAAAACCTCTATATGAGTGCGCAAAGGGAAATAAATTCGTATGGACGAAAAGTTGCGATAAAGCATTCGAATGGACAAAAACTGAATTAACATCTCCAAAAGTGTTGGCGCATTATGATTTGAAAGAGAAAATTATCTTAGCATGCGATGCTTCAGCGTACGGATTATCAGCGATTTTGTCACATCAATACGCAGACGGTAGCGAAAACCAATAGCTTACGCGTCTAAAATCATTCCGGAAAAGGAGCTGCATCGTGCACCAATTGATAAGGAAGCAAGTGCAATTGTATTTTTAAAAAGTTCTACAATTATGTATACGGAAAAATATTATTTTAAAAACTGATCATAAACCTTTGATATTCATTTTTGGCCAGAAACAGAAAATTCCATTAACGATAGCAAGCAGATTGCAGAGATGGGCTTATTTTTTATCAAGATTCTCATATAAAGTAGAATATATTCAATCAAAGCAAAACGGTAATTGTGACGCATTTTCGAGACTTCCGATAAACGATGTAATACCAGTGTTCGAAGATGAGTTCACTGCGATAAATTATGTGCAAGAAAGCATCGAAACTCTAAATGCGGTAGAAATTGCGAGAGAAACAAAGCGCGACAAAACGCTAATACAGATTAGTAAATATACATAACAGAAAAAGACACATAATAATTTACACATTATAAATATTTACACAATATTTTCACAAAAAAGATATAGAAAAAAATCATGAAACACTGAAAGAAAAGTGTGTGATATTTTCGACTTTAATAGCTTGGACTATGGTACTATGATTGTAATTTTGATTTTTAATTTTATAGGAATTGTTAGCCTAATGTTAGCAATAATAATTTTATATGTACAGTATTGCCAAACTTATAGTCAATTATATAGATATTATAGAACATTTAGAATAATATTTGACGCCAGAAAACACCATTGATTGTGGTTACTGCTATTGTTCTTTTCTTTCAGTGTAACGCATTAAGTGAAAAAAACATAAAGTGAAAAAAGTAAAATTCATAAAATATGTCTGATAGTGTTTAAAAAGATAGTAATATTGTATATGAATAAGTTCAAAGAGTGTTATCAAAGACATATTAAATATTTAAAAATGCCTGTTGAAATACAAAAAAAAAACAAAGACGAAATTATAACTGAAAGTGTTAGTAAGTCGAGAAACATTAAAATATTAAATTATTATGTTTCTAATTAATTATGATATCTATCTCTCAAATACACGCAAGCAAGCAAGCTGCGCACACAAGATTAATTATCACTTCGCAGAAATAGTGATTAATCATTACACATAAAGAGACTCATACTGTACAAGATAAAAAATGTAAAATTAAAAAGAAATAAGTGACACAGTTACTTATTCAGTGAGAGATTTGAGAAAATAAAGTTGTATTTATATCGTGCTCTATAAATTTTTCTATATTTTGAAATAGAAATATTATATACCGTCACTTACCTACATATAATATTAAAATCGTCAATTAAAATGCAATGCTATGTGAAAATTTACAATTTTGTAATAATTATACAGTTAACATCACCTTACAAACAAATCGTGAATGCCAACGGTATATAAATTAAACTACGATTCACTGTTACCTCCGAGAAGACTCTGAAGACTAAGAAGCATATTCGTAACTGATATAATATATATGTTATGTCACGCAAACAGTTGCTAAGAGGTCACCCAACAGGAAAACACTTTACTCGACGCTAGAAGAGTACAGAAATTAAAATTCATTGTCAGTTAAGTGTGCGTATAGAAACCGAAATTGTAAAGTTTTTAGCTACTGATAAACAAAATTATTAAAATAAAATACTTATAAATAAATAGAAAATTAATTTTGCGTGTAAAAATGTATTTAGTTATTATGCAGTTAGACATTTAAGATTACAAATGTAATGATACAAATTTGTACAATATACAGCAATGCAATATGAGAGATTTACTAAACTGAAAATAAATAATTGAGTTTTATCTAAATAATATTAATGTTTTACATTGATAGTTTTTACGTTTTGTGGAAGCAATAAAATTATATATAAAAAAAAAAAATTAAAAATGCACAAAACAAATTTTCGTATCATAAATTTGTAATAATTTCTATCATATCTATTAAAAATTTCTATTACATGGCTGCTCCTTTATAAATTAATCGTAAAAAAATCGTTTTCGGAAAAACTGCAATATTTTCTAGGCGAAACCTAGATGTGCTTTCATTACAAAGAAATGAAGATTAACTAAAGAAATTGTAAGTTCGGCATATCGGCAATTGCCAATAGTAAAAAATTGCTTAAAATATGATATCAATATATTATAATAGATACAACGCTTATAATATGATATCATTAAGATAGAAACACGTTTTAATTTATTTATGACAGCTCTGCTTTTAGACCATCCATATAAACAATTACACGCAAATATTAATATTATTTTTTCTACTACTCCTGATATTTAAAATTTTTTGACATAAGCATACAAACATTCAAAATATTTTATTTCATATTATTTTATACTTAAAAAAAATTATTTTTTTTTAAATTACATTACACTTTCACAGATATATTTTGTATTTCGGAGCCGATTCTGTTCTCATCATTGACTATAAGGCACTTTCAGTTGTAAAGCAACTTTCTATAACTTCTTTATTAAAAATCAAAGAAGGCAAATATTTGGTTCAACAAAAATTTGCAGTGTTAGAAGGAATAATTAAATTAAATAAATATTATTTAAACCGACGAAAACCGATGGATCCATAGTTTATGATTTTTCTTGTGTAGTCGTCTCTTCGTTTTTTATTTTTTTTTTTGAACAGCATCCACTAATCTCTCTTCTCTCAAATTAACTTTCACAAATTCAAGTACCTAGAACAAATTATTTCGACAATATCAATAAACCTAAAATTTTTGCGCAGTACAGTTTATGAGTGCATTAATTGCTGCGTTAAAGGTAATTGGATCGGATATGTCATGTACAAAAAAATCAAATATAAATAAGCTCAATATTAAGTAATTAAGAAATAAGTGTTATTTAAGTCAGAAAAATTTACCTTAGCCAATTGCTCTACAGCATGTTGGTGCGTAATAATAACAATTAATGTTGCAATTATGCCGGCTGGCCTGCGAAAAAGTAAAGTAATAAATATTATTATTCAAAAAGGCAATAAGCCTAAAAAAGACGCGGGTGGATAAAAATTATAATTATAAAAAATATAAGAAATAAAATAAATATAAAAAATATATATGTATATGCACTGGTGGATCCTGGGGGGAGGGGGGTTTAACCCCCCCTTCCAAGTTAAAAAAATTTATTTTGCTGGATCCGTTTCAAGAATCTTGATAAAAAATGCATTAAAGCAAGTCAAAACCTCCCCTATTATCGACATCAGGATCCGCTAGTGTGTATATGTATGTATATGTATGTATATATATATATATATATATACATATATTTAAATTTGAATATTTATATATATTTAAATATAGAGATATAATTATAAAAAAATTATTGTTACGTGTTGGAGGTAAACATAATTGTAGTATTTTTGAGATTTTGCAATATCAAATTGCAAACTATATCGTTTCTTGCATGCCTTGCAATGATAAAAAGAAATATGTGAGCACGTGTATTGTTGTGTTGTAATAAAAAATTATTAATTGAATTCAGCAGTAAATAATTAAAAATGACTCCAGGATCTTTAATGCAAGTTAAATATTCTAAAAATTTCATATCATTAGGTGTTGTTGTCCATTTGTACCATACAGCGTACCAAATGGTGCTGTTCGCTGACACCAGACCATTACAATACATCCATCCTTTCCATTCCGATTGCGTTACAGAGCTGCGGTACCAGAAAAAAGTATTTCGTACAAAAATTTAGTTTATTTTATAATAAAATAATTCATCTTGTACAGTATTTGATGTGTAGAATATAAGTATACATAAAGCAACAGAAATTGTTTATATAAATATTGTGGCTGTACAATATCTTACATGCCACTGTCAGAATGTAGATCTCTTGTCATTTGCATATTGGCTACTTCTCTACATTCTTGTTAATAATACATGCTCATTTTACGGTTTCCTCTTTTAAACATTCGGTGAGATCACTTTCGTATTGTTGTGCAAAATATCCGATTGTATACAGAATTTCACTCAATATTTTTTCCATCTTTTTCTAAAAATTGGTAAGTAATATAAATTTTAATTTTTTATTGTTATTTATAAAAGATATGTATGTATATTTATACATATATAAATTTATTTTAACTTTCTTTATTACAAAGTGAACTTACAAAGTGATTAAAAAAAACCTGATGTCCTTGAAATATCATATCTTTGAACGATTTCGAAAACGGTTTTTCCTCTTGCAAAATTTTGTCCGAAACTTAGTTTTTGCTGTTGTAATTGATAATGGTTTACTCCTCACAGTCACACACATTATGACTGTAAAGTATTACGTTACTCTTATGATCAGGGATGTTCCTCGGAGAAGGAGAATGTATACTAGATTTGATATTCAAGACTTTTAATTCCTATTAAGCGAAGATTAATCTGATATGATAAATAATATATACCTTTACAAATTTACAAACAGCTAAACATTATTTAATCAAATTTTTTTTGTTACGAAGATTTTTTGAAATAACTAAATCTGTACATTTTCTAACCTTTAAGCTCCTCAGGATATAACCATCAAAGAGTATTGTCCATCTGCGACAACAATATATATTTCTTACATGTTAACGTAGACAATTTTTCAACAAATCTTTATCAAAGAAATATCATATTTACAATTAAACAATTCAGCAAAATAAAGTAATGTTAACAAGTTAATAATATGGATCTCTAAGTAAATGTCGTTCAAGATAAACAGTTTAAGAACAATAAATATAATATATACAATAAAATATAATACATAAAAATATAATACATACTTTTTGGCATCAAATCTACATATTAGCGAGCTATAGTTTGTTTCTCAATTGGTTACATAATTAGATAATTAAAAACAGTAAATATTTATAAAAATTAATCAAATTTATATTAATCGTTAGATGTCCGGCTATTGAAACATTTACCTTAAATATGGATAAATAAATATTGATGATAAATATTAGATTTATGCAATAAATAACATGTTATATTAATAATATCAAATGTCACAATAAGCTAACTTAATTTTTTACTCTACTGTTTGG